TTAAACTTCTAAGGGAAACTGGAGGTCCTAGAATAAGCAAGATAATTGTGAACAATGAGGAGGAGAAGAAGGAGGAGTAACAAAGGAAGGGGAAGCACAAGGAAGAAAAAAAGAGAAGGAGAAAGAGAATAAAAAAGAAGAGACTCCCAAGAATGAAGACTTGCTTTAAAGCTCTAGTAAGTACAACAGGGTAGGAGAGTAAACCCAATGGACAGAAGAAGCCATGCTCACGTAGACATGGGATGTGGCATATGACCAAGGGCTCACCACACATTTGTGCAGAAGGATGGGCTGATTAATGGGGTATGGACAATAGACACCCATGTGGAAAAATATAAAACATGATCTCTACCTCACACCATATATAAACAAACCCATTCTACGGATTAAGGTCCTGAATATGAAAACCTAGAAACATATTCAGAAAAGAACACATGAGGAAATCTCTATGCTCTTGGATAGGGGAGGATTTTTTTTAAAAAATATATTTTATTGATTTTTTACAGAGAGGAAGGGAGAGAGATAGAGAGTTAGAAACATCGATGAGAGAGAAACACCGATTAGCTGCCTCCTGCACACCCCCTAGGGATGTGCCCGCAACCCAGGTACATGCCCTTGACCGGAATCGAACCTGGGACCTTTCAGTCCGCAGGCCGACGCTCTATCCACTGAGCCAAACCGGTTTCGGCAGGGGAGGATTTCTTAAACAAGACAAAAATGACGAACTATAAAATAGAAGATCAATAAATGTAATTATATTCAAATTAAGACTTCTTCATCTAACGATGCTATAGGCAAACTGAGAAGACAAGTAATGGGCAGGGAGAAGACATAACAGACCAAGGATTGGTATCTAGAATATATACCAGTAAAGACTCTCTCAAAATAGTAAGGAAAAGACAATTCATATAGAAAAATTGAGAAAGACATGATCAGGCATTTCGCAGAAGAGGAAACACAAAGAAGCTCAATATTACTAGTACTCAGGGAATGCCAATTAAAAGCCCAGCAAGCCCTGACCAGTGCGCTCAGTGGTTAAAGCATCAGCCCACGCACCAAAGTGTTGCGGGTTCAATTCCCAGTTAAAGGCACATACCAGATTCATTCCCCGCCAGGCACATGTGGAAGGCAACCAGTCAATGTATCTCTCTCATCTCTCTCTCTCTCTCTCTCTCTCTCTCTCTTCCTTCCTCCCTCCCTCCCTCCCTACCTCCCTCCCTCCCTTCCACTCTCTGAAAAACAATAGACAAAATATCCTCAGGTGAGGATTAACAACAACAGCAAAAAAAAACCCACAAAAAAATAAGCAGCAAGGCATACTAACCACTTCACACCCCTCATATTGACAGAAAGTACTAAGTACTAGGTCAAAGTACTAAGTGCAAGTGTTGGTAAAGTGTGAAGAAAAAGAAAGGCACCAGATAAGTCCAAGTTCTCCCTGATTTGCTGACCTCTGCATCCTCAAAGCCTACCCGACTAACCTTGTGCCCCAGGAAGAGGGAAACACCCATGGGCATGTCACCTGCAGACAGCCTCAGCAGTCCCTATCTCTCCTCCTTCCAAAGCCTGCCACGTTCATGGTCCAGGGCCACGTGGCCTCATGGTTAAGTGCAGGGGCCCTGTGGTGGACTCTTAGCCTTGCCACTTAGTAGCTGTGCAACCTTTTTTAAAAAATATTTTTTTATTGATTTCAGAGAGGAAGGGAGAGGGGAGAGGGACGGAAACATCAATGATGAGAGAGAATCATTGATCAGCTGCCTCCTGCACGCCCCCCACTGGGATCAAGCTCCCAACCCGGGCATGTGCCCTCACTGGGAATTGAACCGTGATCTCCTGGTTCATAGGTCGACGCTCAATCACTAAGTTATGCTGGCTGGGCTAGCTGTGCAACCTTGTGTAAGTTTCTTAACCTCTTATGGCTCAGTTTCCTCTCCTGTGAACTGGGGGAAATAGCTATACCCCCTTCTGGGACCAGTGGAAGGACTGAATAAGTTAATATACCTGGAACACTTAGCTCAGTGGTTCCCAACCTTTCTTTGGCCATGCCCCACCTAAGCATCTTTGAAATCCTGATGCCCCCCTGTGACATATGATTCTTATTATTCAAAAAGTAACTCCTATTCACGTGGAGGAAGCCTAAAAGGCCATTCACTTGGTCTAAACAAGCTTCCAAACAACATGGCACCCATGAAAGAGAAAAATAAAAGAACGGACGGACATTGAAGTACTGAGAAAGAAATCACTAAGAAATTGTTTTTTAAAAATGATAATAATAATATGAAGTGAGCCCTAACCAGTTTGGCTCAGTGGATAGAGCATCAGCCTGTGGATTGAAGGGTCCCAGGTTTGATTCTGGTCAAGGGCATATACCTTGGTCGCGGGCACATCCCCAGTGAGGGGTGTGCAGGAGGCAGCTGATCGATGTTTCTCTCTCATGGATGTTTCTAACTCTCTATCCCTCTCCCTTCCTCTCTGTAAAAAATATTTTTTTAAAAATTAAAAATAAATAATATGAAGTGATATGAAAAAAATAGCAAATAGTTTCAAAACATATAATAGAGAACTGAAATACATAAATAGGTCACTATATATTTATATATTGTATATGAGGCCCCTAGAACCATAAGAAATGCAAAAAAAATCACTGTTGGTAACTCATTCTCGAATTGCCCCCTTAAAAATCAAATAGCCCCCCTGTGGGGCCTGTGCTCCACATTGGGAACCACGGACTTAGCCCAGCCCCAGACCTCCTGAGGGGGGCCATAGTGGCAGCACTGGTTTAAGGTTCGCTTAAACCTCACTTCCTCTTTCTGAGACCCTGAGTGCCTCTAGCTGTGACTTCTCCCTGCACCTCGAGATGCCCTCCACAGATGGGCTTTTCTGGCAGTGGGGCCTTAACTGTTGGCAAGTAGTTCTGCCGGAGACCCAGAAAACACTTGAGCATGTGGAAGTGGGCTTTGTCTCTGAACGGTGCCAATGCCAGGCTCGAGCCTGGCACCCAGAAGGCACTTCCTGGAAGGCTATAGAATGCTCCCCTGACGACTCATTGGGAGGGCACCACCCTGTTCTCACCTGCTCCAGCCAGGTGCCCACAGCCTCTGCCATGCCTATCAAGGCCAGCAGAGGGCAGCAGCAACCGCCCTGCGCTGTTGGGCAAAGGGGTGGATGGGGAGGGGCTGGGCTGCCTCATCCGCCAGGATGAGTCCGGTTGGGCACGATTGCATTGTGGGGAGGGAGGCCGGGGCTCCACGGAGACGCACTTCTGGCACCAGCTGCTCCTCAGCCCCTGCCCGCGGCCCACCCAGGTAGGCAAGAACTAGGGCTGGTGAGAGCAAGGGGTGCAGGGGCCTCTGGATTGGGGAGCACCACCTCGGGCTGTGCTGGGACCTGAGAGAAGCCAGGGGTCCACAGGGCCAACTAACTCTCATCCGGGAAAGGCCTTCAGGGGCCAGCCCTGTGATGGCACCTCCTGATGCCTAAGGGGCACAGCACACCTCTGGGAAGTAGGACCCCGTACTTCTGCCCCCCAAATGGAAGAGCTGGCTCTGCCAAGGGCAGGGCACAGGGTAGGGAAGTGGCCCGCCTGGCTCCCTGCCCCCACAGCCACCCAACTGGCCCAGCCAGGTGGCGGCAAAACTGCTGCTGCCACCTTGCCCAGAGCCTGCTGCTGCAGCTCACCGTGGTGAAGGCAGGGTCTCCAATCTCTGCACACCTGCCCCTGCGCCTTGGGGCAGAGCCCTGGCTCTGCTGGCTTGGTGTGCACACGGTGCCCTGTGAGGGTGGCAAGGCAGCCAGCTGCCAAAGGACACTCCTTTCCCCGCCCCAGGCATGGAGGGGGATGTAGGCCCTTCCTGGAATGGTGTTTCCTTGGGGGAGGGGGAGGGGCACCGCCAGCGACCAGTTGCCATGCCTGAAGCTCAGGGTTGAGTTCCTGCGGGCCATGCCCCCCACCCCTTCCTGTGCATCCTCTGCTGGCACTGTGCACCACCACCAGGATGTACCTGGCACGACTTTGCCGGTCCCCCGAGGTGGGGCTGGATGGGCCAGTTCTTATTCTGGGCCAAAGGGGTGGGGGTGTTGGGGGGAAAGTGTCCTGGACGCCTTGCCTTTGTCAGCGTCTCCCCTGCCCCCAGTCCGGACAAAGGCCGGCATTGAGGGCCAGGGCTGGCACTCCAGCCAGGCACCAAGGCTACTAAGGCTGAGTCTGGCATTGCAGGGACTGAGCGCCCTGACCCTCCCATGGGGGCTCTGGGGCCTCCCCTGAGCTGTTCACAAGGAGGAGCTCGCTGGCTGACACCACAGGGGTGGGGCCGGCTGTGTGGCTCTCATTTTTCTGGCTGGAGGAAACCCTGTCCCTTTGTCCCCAGATCCCAGGGGGTGTCTCTCTGAGGGTGGGGAGTGGCAGGGAGCCCCCTGGCCAGAACAGCCGGGGTGGGGTGGGGGGAGAGCACTAGATAGTGGGTCCCTGGCCTCTGGACAGAGGGGACATTGTTGAGGTGGAGGCAGGGCTCCCTTGGCCCGGCCACTATTGACAAAGCTGCCAGCTGTGGTGGAGCCTCCCACAAGGCCCTTGCCCCCCCCCCAAACCTCCCGCCTCCCCC